CCAGGTTTCATGCCCAGGTTTCACTCCCGTTCGTTTCCCCTCCCCTCCTTCCCTGCCCCACCCATCTGTTGCCTTCTCCGTGCCCCGCCTGGCTTTCCGCCCCAGTTCCCTCCTGACTCAACCTCCCCAAAGTGCGTTTCCTAGGAACCACCTGAGAAAAGTGGATTATCCGGGCAGATAAAGTGGATTAATCACTCCGGTTTGGCCTGTTTGGCAACAACGGCGGCTTTTCTTCGGCAGCCAAAGGCTTCCTTTCCGTGCCAGGCTCACCAACGGCTCCTCTGGGCAAGGAACCGGTTTGCCACACAGCCTCAGCCTGGACCGCAGGGAGGCACATCAGGGTTTGGGTCCAAGGCTTGGCCATGATGCTCCCACTACTTCCGGGGGTTCCATGGGTTGATTGTTCTCCCTGTCAGAAAATTTCTCCTTATTTCCGGGTTGAATCTCTCCTTGATCAGTTTCCATCCATTATTCCTTGTCTGGCCTACAGGAGCTTTAGAAAATAATTTGACCCCCTTCCTCCTCCCTGTGGCATCCCCTCAAATATTGGAAGGCTGCTATCCTGTCTCCCCTGGTCCTTCTCTTCTCTAGACCAGCCAGGCCCAGTTCCTGGAACCGTTCATTGTACATTTTAGCCTCTAGTCAGTCCCTTAACCATCCCGGTTGCTCTTCTCTGTACTTTTTCTAGAGCAGGGGTTCCCAACCTGGGGTGCTCGCACCCCCTGCGGGTGCGAGACGATATTCCAGGGGGTGCGAGAAAAGTCCAGGTAAATAATAGGATATTGGCTATATGTTGGCATTTTTATTTATTATTTATTTCAGGGGGCGCGAGGTTCGAGTGAAATTTCTTTAGGGGTGCGGGGCGAAAAAAAGGTTAGGAATCACTGTTCTAGACTCTCAACCTCTTTTTTTGTAATGTGGTGAACAAAACTGGATGCAGGACTCTAGGTGTGGCCTTACCAAGGCTTTATAGAGTGGTATTAGTACCTCACTTGTACTAAGTACCTCACTTATACTCTTGGTTGTATCCCTGTGTTGATGCAATTTAGGATTGCATTGGCTTTTTTGGCTGCTGCTGCACACAGCTGGCTCCTATTTAGCTGGTTGCCCACTAAGACTCCAAAATCCGTCTCCCAGTTAAGAAATCTGGTTTCACCCAGTCTATATGTGTACTTTTGGTTTTTCTTGCCTAAGTGTAGGACTTTACTTTTCTCTACATCGAATTTCATTTTGTTAGATACGGTCCAGGGTTCGAGTCTGTCAAGATCCATCCGGAGAAGCCCCCCCCCGCCCAATGTTTACTTGATTGACATCCAGATTTGAGCCCCAAACTTCCCCTGCTAAGCAAGACGGTTGTGAAAGAGAGCCCTGCCCCCCCATTTTATGACCTTTCCTGCCACCGTTGTTAAGTGAGTCGCTTCCGTTGTTGACGTAGTAACACAGTCGTTAAACGACTCCGGCTTCCCCATTGACTTTGCTCGTCAGAAGTTCGCAGGAGGGGGAATTGCGAGATCCCGGGATGCTGCAACCGTCATAACGATGAGTTGCCAAGCATCCGGATGTTAATCACGTGACCACGGGGGCCGGTGCTGTGGGTGGGAAGGGTGAAGGAGAAAAGTCCCTCTCTTTTTTTTCATTGGGGCTTCCTGAGCTGGGTTGCTTTCTTGCAGACGTTTCATTACCCAACTAGCTGACATCATCAGTGCAGCGGGTTTGCTCTCTGTTTATAATACATTACAGCAAAATCTCCAGATTCATGGCCGATAGATAGACAGAGAGAGACAGAGATAGATAGGATGGAATGGAATGGAATGGAATGGAATGGAATGGAATGGAATAGAATAGAATAGAATAGAATTCTTTATTGGCCAAGTGTGATTGGACACACAAGGAATTTGTCTTGGTGCAAATGCTCTCAGTGTACATAAAAGAAAAGATACATTCGTCAAGAGTCGAGAATCATAAGGTACAACACTTAGTAATAGTCATCGGGTACAATAAGCAATCAAATCATACTAGGAAACAATATGTATTCTACCTGTTGTGTTTTAGTATAACTGAAGTTTTCACTCTGGTCCGCAATTTAGGCGAGGAAAGCTCTTGAATATGATTGGCTGGCCTGTCTGACAGCCCTTATTAAAAGGGGAACTGTCAGACAGGACCAGTCGTTCAGTTCTCACTGTTAACTGAATAAACCAGTTTGACGGCTACCTTCGGCTGGCTGTGTGTCTTCCTTCACCCACAACAGAACACTACCTACCTACTTAATCTATATCTATCCATCTATCATCTGTCCATCATCTATCCACCTACATACCTACCTACCTATCCATCCCTCTAGGTACCTACCTGAACACACACACACACACACACACACACACACACATTAATCACAGATAAAATAGAACAGAATTCTTTTTTGGCAAGTGTGATTGGGCACACAAGGAATTTGGCTTTGGTGCAATTGCTCTCAGTGTACATAAAAAGAAAAGATACATTCGTCCAGAGTCGAGAATCATAAGGTACGACATTTAATAATAGTCATAGGGTACAATAAGCAATCAAATCATACTAGGAAACAGTCGATATAAATCATAAGGATACAAGCAACAAAGTTATAGTCATACAGTCACCAGTGGGAGGAGATGGGTGATAAGGAGGGATGAGAAGATTAACAGTAATAGTAATGCAGACTTCGTAAATAGTTGGGCAGTATTGAGGGAGTTATTTATTTAGCAGAGTGATGGCATTCGGGGAAAAACTGTCCTTGTATCTAGTTGTTCTGGTGTGCAGCACTCTATGGTGTTGTTTTGAGGGAAGGAGTTGAAACAGTTTATGTCCGGGATGTGAGAGGTCTGTAGATATTTTCACAGCCCTCTTTTTGAGTCGTGCAGTAGACAGGTCCTCGATTGAAAACATTGCAATCAAGGCAAGCCCGAAGCTTCAGCTTTGCCTCATCAGTCCAAGTCCTCACTGATTTAATTGTTGGTTTCATGGTTTTTAAGTCTTTGTCTGTAAGCAAGTACAAGGTGAATCATGCAGTGATCAGAGTGTCGCACAGCTGCTCGGGGTAAAGACCTAGAAGCATCTTCTACGGTTGCGTAGCGATGGTCTAAAGTATTATTATTATTATTATTTTGCCTCTGGTGGGACAATTGACATGCTGGAAATATTTGGGGAGCTCTGTCCTTAAATTTGCTCGATTGAAATCTCTTGATGGATTTGATTCATTGTGACTTGAGATGCTCTCTTCAACAAATAAGTCATTCTGGGGTTTGAAAGCCACCCCTCTCCCAATGGCCGGGGTTGAGTTAGGCAAGGCAACTACTGGTTCCTCTTTGAGTGACATCAGCTCGTTTAATGACCGTTCCAAGTTTTAGCAGCACTGAAAAAAATGTGACTTAGGGCTGCTTCCCGTAGTTACGACCGTTGCCGCATTCCAGTGATCGTATGATCAAAATTCAGACGCTGGGCTGTGGGTGGAAACCAGGCTCACTTAACAACCAGGTTACTAACTTATCATCTGCAATGATGCACTTAACAACAGGAGTGGGGCAAACCTCACTTAACAACAGGAGTTTTGGGCTCCACTGTGGCCATAAGTCGAAGATTACCTGTAATCACGTGAAGAGGAAGGAGGAGGATCATTCCAGGCAGATGTTTCCTCCTGACACTGGTCCTTTGCACAGCCCCCCACCCCCCCCCCCCCCCCCCCGCCCCCCCCCCCCCTCACCCCCCCCCCCGCCCGCGTCCCCCCCCCCCCCCCCCCCCCCCCCCCCCGCCCGTGACCAGCTCATCCCTCTTTCCCCCAAATTGGTCCCGGAAGCTAACAAAAAAAGCCCCTTCATTTCTCAGATTGACCTTGCTTCCTCCTGCAGGACGAGAGGTGTCAGACTCTGACGCATGATCTCGTGTCCTCCCAGGTGGCCTTTGAGCTGGCTGAGTCACCTGCACCAGCCTTGCCCTTTCAGCCCTCCTCCCTTCTCCTCTTCCCTTCCTTTCTTCCTTTCCTCTGCCCAGCTGGATGGAAGCCGCGCTGGGTGGAGACTGGGCAGGGCATACACTACAAGGGGAAAGTAAACGATGGGGGTAGAACAAGGAAGGGCGGAAAATGACATCACCCATGCCGCAGGTGTGCACGCACCTATCCTTCGGGGACCAAGTGTGCTGGGGAGGACAAGAGATTGGAACACGGCATCCAGCTTTGGTCACCACAATTATTAAAAAAGGAGGTTGAGACTCTAGAAAGAGGGCAGAGAAGAGCAACGAAGAGGATTAGGGGGCTGGAGATCAAAACATATAAAGGACAGTTGCTGGAAGTGGATATGTCGAGTTTAATGAAAAGAAGGACTAGTAGGAGACTTGACAGCAGTCTTCCCATATTTGAGGGGCTGCCCCAAAGAAAAGGAAGGGGTCAAGCTATTCTCCAAAGCACCTGAAGGCAGGACAAGAAGCAATTGATAGAAGGAGAGAAGCAACTTGGAATTAAGGAGGAAATTCCTGACAATTAGAGCAATGAATCAGTGGAACTGCTTGCCACAGGAAGTTGTGAAGGCTCCAACACCGGAGGTTTTTAAGAAGAGATTTTTATGGAGGAAAAAGTGGGGGGGAGGAGGAGAAGGAGGAGGAGGAGGAGGAGGAAATTTAGAGTCTGTTAGCGTTCCAGGGAAAATCCCCCTACTACTCTTTAATCTGGCTTGTTTTCTTGCAGACATTTATTTCCCAAACTTTTTATGGAGGAAAAAGGGAGAGGGACGAGGAGGAGGAGGAGGAGGAAGCCCACAAGTTTTAAAGTTGCCACGTTTGGGGACCCCTGTCCTAGATGGAGCCAGGGGTCTTGTAGGTTCGTAGCCCAGATATGCCAGTCTGTCCAATTTTCTTCATTTCTTGACTTGGAAAAAAAAAGAGACGAATCTTTCTCTACAAAGGGAAGCCACTATTTCTCCTCCTCCTGTCGCCCGTCTTTCCTTTCCTCTTCTTTCTCTCGCCTTCTCCTCCAGATTCGGCGTATCCGTAACTGGCTCGACTTCTTGGCATTCGAGCTGGCGTCAGAAGAATTCCACCGGAAACCTTCCTCTCTCGAATCTAAAAATAAGAATTTGGAGCTGCTGCGAATGCTTGCTCCCAGCGCCTCCATGCATAATGTATGGGGCTGTGTGTAATTATGGCTTTTCCCAGGAGGGCTGTCTGTGTGTGTAAGGGGGGAAATCTGTTGTGGGAATGAACGTGCCAGGCTGGCAGCCGTCAGGTGGCCCAGGAAAGGTCACCTTTCAGCTTCCAGGTGTGCCAGGTGAGAAAAGGACCTCAACCTGAACTGCTCACCTGGGCTTTTCATTGGAGCTCAATGCACCGTGGGGAATGCCTACAGAACAGGATGTTTATTATTATTATTATTATTATTATTATTATTATTATTATTATTATTATTATTATTTGTTTATTATTTGTATCCGGCTTTTATTGTTTTTAGAAATAACTCAAGGCGGGGACCATATTTGACATAGCTTCCTCCTCTTGTTTTTCCCACAACAACAACCTTGTGAGGTGGGTTGGGCTGAGAGAGAGGGATTGCCCTAAAAAGTCAACCAGGTGGCTTTCACAGCTAAGTGGAACTAGAACTCTCCGTCACCTGGTGATTGGCCCAAAGTCACCAAGCCATCTTTCGTGTTAAGGGCGGGTCTAGAACTCACAGTCTCCTGGTGATTGGCTCAAGATCATCCAGCCATCTTTCATGCCTATACGTGGGACTAGAACTCACCGTCTCCTGATAATTGGTCCAAGATCACTCAGTTGGCTTTCATGCCTAAGGCAGGGCTAGAACTCATTGTCTCCTGGTGACTGGCTCAAATTCACACCCAGCCAGCTTTTAGGTCTAAGACAGGACTAGAACTCGCCCTCTCCCAACGTCAACCTGGTGCCTTAACCACCCAACCAGGTGAAGGAACAGATACCCATGTAACAACGCTAAGCCCTAAATAACCGAATGACTGCACCTGCTGCTGGCGAACCACAACCCATTCAAAGTTACAACGGCGCTGAGAAAAAAAGGTGACTTGCGACCGTTATTTCACAGTCGTGACCTTCGCAGCATCCCTGCGGTCGCGTGGTCAAAATTCAGAGACGTGGTGACCGATTCGTACTTACGACCGTTGTCATGGGATCCCCTTTTGCAACCTTCCACCAAGCCAACGGGGGAAGCCCGATTCCCTTAACAGCTGGTGGCAAGGAAGGCCGTAAAAATGGGGCACTTCTCACTTGACCAACGCTCTCCCTTAACGACGGAAATGTTGGGCTCGCTTGTGGTCGGAAGTCGAGGGCCACCTGTACGTTCCGTTCGTGCCGTTCTTAGCAAAAGGCAAAGAACTAGACTTGAATTTCCCTTTTCTGGTGCCTGGGAAGTTGGTCTGAGCTTTCTAGAAATCCCTCCGGCTGCTGACATGTTCCTTAAGGACTAGAAACTTGATGTCAATAAAGGGAAAACACAAGCTTAGGGTTTGGGGTGTTTTTTTTTTCTTCTTCTATTGAATGTTGACTCCTGTGTCCAGCACCAACGCTGGCTCCTGCGTGGTGCAGTTGCTTAGGAACTAAGAAAGCCGATTCCCTCTGAATTCCCACAGCGCCTTCCTTGCCTGTCACTATTCCAGAACGGTGGTATCTGTATTCCCATTCTCACCGCCAGCCACCCAGATGTTCCCAAGGCCCAAGAGCTGAAGATATAAGAGGAGGCAGCCAATAGAAGCATTCCTCCCTGCTGTGCCCCCTCCTTCTCCGTCCCTGTTTGCAAAGGGGTGAATAATAAGACAATCTGATATATATTCAAGGCAGGTTCAACCCCAACGATCCTGGGAACTAAGCTGAAAGGTTGCCGGGCAGGGCTGAAGCGCCATCTAGTGGCTGAAAAGTGCAAAAGGCGAGCCAGAAGTAGCTTTACTTAGCCAAGCAAAGTGGTTAGCGGTTTACTTTATAAGCCCTTTGCCGTTTCCTGCTTTCTTGAAACTAATCACGTAGGAGAAAGTGGGTGTCTGAGGTCGATTCTGACCCACAAAAACACATTTCGGCCTAAACCGGTTAGTTTCTCTAAGGCAGTGTTTAACACAGTGTTTCTCAACCTTGGCCCTTTAAGAGGGGTGGACTTCCACTCCCAGAATCCCTCAGGCGGCATTGTTTCTCAACCTTGTCCCCTTTAAGAGGGGTGGACTTCAACCCCCAGAATTCCTCAGCTGGCATTATTTCTCAACCTTGGCCCCTTTAAGAGGGGTGGACTTCAACTCCCAGAATTCCCCAGCCAACATTTTTCAACCTTGGCCCCTTTAAGAAGGGTGGACTTCAACTCCCAGAATTCCCCAGGCAGCATTATTTCTCAACCTTGGCCCCTTTAAGAGGGGTGGACTTCAACTCCCAGAATTCCCCAACCGGCATTGTTTCTCAACCTCGCAACCAGCATAGCTGGCTGAGGAACTCTGGGCGTTGAAGTCCATCTCCTCTTAAAGTGACCAAGGTTGAGAATCAGTCGTTTATATCCTCACTGGAGGTTTTTAAGAAGAGATTAGATGGCCATTTCTCTGAAATGGTGTAGGGCAGCTCAAACTCGACAGCTTTAAGACTTGCGGACTTCAACTCCCAGAATTCTTCCAATCGCATTAGCTCAGGAATTCTGGGAGTTGAAGTCCACAAGTCTTAAAATTGCCAAGTTTGAAGACCCCCCCTGCCCTACACCATTTCAGAGGAATGGCCGCCTAATCTCTTCTTAAAAACCTTCAGCTTGAGCAAGGGGGTTGGACTAGAAGACCTCCAAAGGTCCCTTGCAACTCTGTTAATCTGTGATGCCAGAGTATTATCCGAGATTACCCAACATGCGTAGCTATGAATCAAACACACTTCTTGACGGCTGAACCCAGCGCCAAATGAAGGAACAGGCAGAATTATTTTGCATTGCAGCTCAATACGCGGGGAAGGAAAGAATTAACTAATCAAATTAAGAGAGACGCCCAATTTAATTGACTCTGGGCGACACCACAAAAACAATCCCCAGGCAGGTGTCAACCCCTGATAAAAGTCTAAGATTCTGGGAAACTGAGGTAGGCTCGCTTAATGGGCGGCAGAGGTGGGACAATGCTGGGGATGAGAGTGGGAAGGAGACATTCTGGCGGGGAAGCCCCAAGGCCAAGAAAGCTGGCTTCCTTGGTCCCAGACTGCTTGTTGGATGAACCTTTGAGCAGAATTGGGTTGTCTTTTACTGAGGTTATGCTCTTTTATTCCCTGATCCAGAGAAGCCCAACCCAGCGGGCGCAGCCACCACTGGGGGCATCATCGGAGGCCTCATAGCCACCATCGTAGCCTTGGCGGTGGTGGTCACCGGAATCCTGATCTGTCGGCAGCAGCAAAAGAACCGGATGGGTCCTGAGGAGGACGAGTAAGTGAGCCAGTTGGCTCTGGGAAGTGGAGTGGGGTAGTAGGGGCTGGGTGCAGGGAGGGTATGAGGGCCCCCACCCAGCCACCCTGAATTTCCTCGCAGCGGGAACAGGCCTCATTCGGCCAAAGCTTGCATTGCTTTGAGTAAAAACCAGAAGTGAGCAACGATGGCACCTTTACGACTTGTGGACCTCGATTCCCATGCTGGCTCAGGAATTCTGGGAGTTGAAGTCCACAGGTCATAAAGAGGCCATCTTTGCCCATTCCTGGTTGGCTCAGGAATTCTGGGAGTTGAAGTCCACAGGT